CTTAAACTTTCAAATTTAAGATAACTAAATTCAAAATTTATTCAATTTATAGAAATTAAAAATATATTTAAATCATAAAATAATATATTTTTTATTTTTAATTTAAAGCTTTTAGTACTTAGGTCATCTCAATTTCTATATTTTATTTTTTATATTTTTAAATGAGACTTGCTATCACATATCACTTATCTTATATTTTATGATTTAACTCTTCCCTCCAATCTATTAACTTTAATTTTTTTTACTAATGAATCTTATAATAAATAATTTCACACCACTGCTTAAATAAGTAATTGGTGCTTATTTATTTTTTGCCGGTGTAAGAGTCCAACGCCATTTGATTAACAAGAAGAGTTCTTAATTGTGTAAAAAAAAAATGAAGACTGCTTAATAAGCATTCTCACAAATTCGATCCGTTAATAATGTAGATTATCTCAAAGGTTCATGTAGAGGATTTAGAAATTGCGAGGCTTTTGGAAAAATTTGTAGTTGATTTTTTTTTCTTTAGTGAATCTTATTTAAATATGATTTATTAATTTTTATTTTAATCTCTTAATTTTTTGAATTGCAAAATTGTTAATTAGAATTTTATAATTAAGTAATGTTAACACCTCATTCTATGATTACCTACAATATCTATTACTTTCATGCATGTTTTGTATACCAGATAAGGATATGAGTACCAGGTCAAATATAAGAAAGGACTGAGGAGTCCTCGATATGACTACACCGAAGAGTCCTTGGCTCATTACAATAACCTACTTAACCTGTTTATTACGGATAAGCACTAATGAATTCTCTTATGGGCCTACATATGGGCCTAAGCCCATTAAGGTTAGTATAAATAAGTGTGATTAGTGACAAACAGAGGTACGTTTTCATAATTACCAATTTGATTAGCATTGATATCTCTGAGACCGAAGACTGACTTAAGCATTGGAGTGCCTTTTGCAGGTACCCCTCTCTTTCCCTAGGATACATCATGGAAGACAAAGACCCAACAGGAGTAGCAAAATTACCGGAGTACCTTCGTGCATGTGCATTTTGGCGCCCACCGTGGGGCCCGATTTTGACTAACATATTTTGGTATACTTCCTAAATTGGACTAATATAATGTGACCACTTGTCTATCTCTATCACATTAATTATAAAGGATAATTTTTTAAATATGACTCTCATATATATATATATATATATGAGGAGGGTTCAAATGACACCGGTGTAACTTTTACTAAGTGTTACACCGCTCGATAACTTTAAATTAAATGTGAATTTTGTAAATTCAACCGTTAGATTGAAATTTCTTTACTATTAGATCACATATACAAAATTTTATATTAATCCAAGATGATTTGATACTTCATTCTTATAAAACAAAATTGACGTAATATATTTATTTCAAAATATACTAAAATATGAATACTTTGATTACCCCCAAGTTGTTGTTCAATTTTAAAAAAATTTGATATACACATATAAAGTGATATGAATTTTCAATCTAACGGTTAGATTTACAAAATTCACATTTAATTTAAAGTTATTGAGCGGTGTAACACTTAGAAAAAATTACACCGGTGTCGTTTGAACCCTTCTATATATATATATATATATATATATATATAAATTAAAGAGAGATCAACTTACTTCAAGAATAAGTCTACTTAAATTTTAGTCAATAACTCATGTTTACATCAAATTTCAACAATCTAACCATTGAATTAAAAGTCTTTATTTGCATAGATCAAGTATGTAATTTTTAAAAAAAAATTGATATTCTATTTCATTAATTTTAATCAACTTATAAAATAATTTTATGATTATCTATTAATTTGAAAAATGAAACAAGTTATCAAATAATTTTTAAATTTTTACAACTTTGCAGACTTGATTTATATATTAAAAACTTTTAATTCAACGGTTCAATCATTAAAATTTGGTGTAGAACATGATTTATTAAGTAGAGTAAGTCTAAATCTAGATAGACTTACTCTTAGAGTAAGTGAAGTCTTCCTCATATTAATTTATACTATTATCACATAAGGATAAAACAAATTTGTCATCGGTTATTTGCTTACAAGTTGAGGGTCATGATTTTTTTATGGTTTATTGAGTCTTTTTTTTTTTTTTTCATAGGTCATCTCCAATCCTTCTCCAATTAACCCATCTTCTCTAACAAATAAACCCTTATTGAAGAAACATGAACATGATATGGCAACTCTAAGTGTTGCAGTGTGTGTGCTTTTGTTGGAACTCTTTCGTTATCTTCATCAATTCGAAAAGGGCAAATATTCACTATGATATGCAATTCACTATAACACACAGATTCACTCATTGTGAAATTAAAAACATGTGAGTTTATTCTTCTTACTCTATGCCCTATTTTGAACCTTTTATTGGAAAATGAGAGTGCATTTCATTCAACTTTTCTATGTCACAAGAAACTATAATTTTGTGGTGATTATTGTTAAAAAAAACAAAGTGGGATGAAAATGCATTCGATTCAAATTCACACTCATGGCAATCAAAGTAAATCAAAATAAAGTAATAACAATTGACACAAGACCATGGTTTAGAATCCTATTTGGCCTCAATTCAAAAGTTGTTTAGAATCCTAGACACAAAAGAACTTCTAAGTCACGTATTCCTCAATTCAAACATAACAAACATGAAAGTTGATCATTTAATATGAAAACAAGAAGGAAAAATAACTTGGGCGAATTAAGATGGATTCAAAATGGGACACAAAGCAAGAGGAATAAATTTAGGATTTTCACAAATTAGTAAAGACATATGAGTAAAAATGTGTGTCATAGTGAACCTTTATCCTTTTCAAATCAATGAAGATAAAGAAGAAATTCCAACACAAACGCACTACTGCTCAAGACCACTAGATCTTGTTCTAGTTTCTTCAAGATGGGTTTCTTCATTAGAGGAAAAAGGTTGAAGTCTTGAAGATGATCCATGAAAAAAAAATTCAATAACCCATAAAAAATTATAACATAACTTGTAAGTAAAATAATTTAGAGTAAATTTTCTTGTTCTTACTTTATTTTATATATATATATATATATATATATATATATATATATATATATAAATTTGCACATAAACTTATGGGAATTGAGACTAATATTTAAAAAATTATTCTTTATAATTAATATGATGGAAACAAATAAATGATCACATCCTATTAGATATAAATGATATATATATTGTATAAATAGATAGATAGGTGTATAAATGATAATATTAAAAAAAAAAAAAAAGTAACAGAGCGACAACCAATATATACTACAAAAAATGTTCCATATAGTGACATACAAAAAATGTCACTATTGGTATAATATATGTAGGTATATACCTATTTGACATATAGCTACATACAATTTTAGTGTTGATTTTGAATGAGATTTAACAACATATTTTATGTGTCACTATAGCCTATACCTACACTCTTTAATAATATACTAACATATATTATTTATTGTGTGGGTAAAAGTAGTTTTTAATGACACGTATTGTATCACTATAGGGTGTGTGTTATTATACGGCGAAACGCCAATCATGAAAGCCGACATATGATGATGGAGAATGCATTCGCAAGAGGCCTTATCAGTTGCTGAATTCGCAGTTGATAATCATAATAATTTTAAGTATTATTAATATATAACATTTTATAAACATTATATGCCTTTTAAAAAGAATAATTTGTTAGTATAACTTTATACTTGTATTTTTTTTTAATAATAACCATATGGTTAGAATTACGAGTCTATGACTTGTGCATGTTAACAAAATCTCTTACGACTAAACTAATTATGGTAGTTTACTACAATGCTTCTAATGAGATATTTATTTCTTTGTTAATATTTCTATTAGTATATTTAATTTAATTAAGAAGAAAATAAAGTAAGATAACTAGTATATCAAATAAATGTCCATTAAAACTTAAACTTGTTGTGGGATATTATCTCCATGATATAAATGAAACTGAAATTTAGTTTCATTAAATAAAATATCAAGTTTGAGTTTTATAAGTGAAAAAATATAATTTAAAAAAAAATACTATTAAAAATACAATTAAAGCGAAACTTTAAAATGTTTATTATGTGGTGTGGTTTGGGAGAATAGAGGGAAGGGAAGAGAGAGAGGAGTTTTAAACTTTTTTATTTAATTCAATTTTTAGAGTTTAGGGAAAAGGAAAATAGAGGAGAACAAAACCCTCTTTTATCTTATTTTTCTACACAATATCTATGATGAAGTATGCCTTTGGATTAAAAGAATCATGCTCAAGAAATTTAGGACCCTTATTACTTATAAGAGATTTAAATGTTATGTGAAATTGAGTTTCAATAAGTTAAGAAATATTTGTGACTAAAAATTGATGAGATAACATAAGGAACCCATATGTCAACATGAAGTAAATAAATAAAAAAAATGGTAGAATGCGTGATGCTATTGCAATAAGGAAGTTTTCTTTGTTTTGCAGAATGACAATTATCACAAGGGGGCTATTATTTTTATATGATACAATGGGAAAATATAATGCAACACATTTATGAATAGCATCCGAAGCATGTGCTAGTCTAATCTCTTTAAGATGAATTTGAATAACTTGTTCATAAAATAAAAAGAAAAATAATATAAATTTAATCTCTTTACAAGTAAAAATTAGTTTTTTTTTCGTAAGTAGAAATTAGATTTTAAATAAATCAATATAGAAAATTTCTCCAAAAAAATTTATATATAAATTAATTTTAATTTATAGAATCTTTTTATTTTATTCTTAAAAAAATATACTTATGTAGATCAAAACTTATCCAAACAACATTAATTTACACTCCCATATTATGAAAACAATGTACTCATATATATATATATATATATATATATGAATTCGTTTTGCTGTGTGTAAAATCCCGTCTTACTAACAACAATATTCACAGTATCACAACTCCACTAGCAAAATTAATTTGTAATTCAATAGACTAAAAATAATCTTGACAGAAAAAGAAAAAAAAAACTGCCATAATTTCGTAAACGTTACACGTATGTGTATCTAAGAATTTATATATCTCTAGTAAAAACATCCTGACATCTATGAATATTACTACATTTAAGTGATGAAATATAATTTGGCATGTGTGAGACACTTATGTATATGGTTATGGTCCTAATGCTACAGCATGAGAGGGACGAACACCATCCAAGGAAACGCAGAATCAATTGCCGTATTCGGTTTCCGAAAGCAAGAAGAAGACGTTGCAGGCTTTGAGCGCAGAAAAAAATTCCTAGACCCCAAGTTCAACAACTTATCATCTCCCTTCAAACCTGCACCACACAAAATAAGAATCATATATTTTGCAATTTTCAAAAGGTTAATATATATTATATATATATTACTAACTTTCAAGTGTGAAGGAAGAGTAGTGAAGGTCGTAGCAGTTGGGATGAGTGTTCTTCAACAAGGGTCTTCGCTTCTCCTTCTCGTAAAATGCCAATGCCGTCTTAATCAAATCGGCGACGGTGTCCTCCGGCGACATCACCACCTGTACGGCTCCCACGCACTTGTCGAAAGTCACGTTCAGCAACATCTTCGACGGACGAAGAAAAGAGTCGGTGTCTTGCGAGGGAAGCTTCAGCGTGAGAGGAGCGGGGGCGAATCGGCGAAGGAGGCCGGAGTGTTTCTCCGGCTGCTCCTTCCCGGAGAATTTTCTCCGATGAGCCGGTGACGCCGAAGTCATGCTTATGAGGATAAGTATTTTCGTTTTTCTGAGTGTGTCTTTTTCTCTGTTGGTTTTGTTTAGAGATGACACGAGACGAGTGTGTGTGTGTGTGATGAGTTTGAGAAGAAAAGTAAAGGTGAGAGAGAGATAGGGTTGTAAATACCAACGGAACAAACGGTCAAGGTATGGCGTATTAGAGAAGCTTCTCTGAAACTGCTCCACTCTTAACTTTTCCTTCACCTGTTTCATACCCTTTTAACTTTTTGCATTTCTCATCCAATTTATATTTCTAAATCATAATTAACGTCCATATAATGAGTGTTTGTATTGTAAATTAATTGAAAAAGCTTTATATATATATATATATATAAGAAAGAATGTAGTAAAATTTTTAATTTTAATAAATGAGCTAATAATAAAGAATGTTAGACTGAATATTACTAATATTTCTCTAAACTAAATTTACTATTTAAATCTTATTCAAATTGCCTACATCTCACTCTACACTAACTCAATATAAATAGGATACAACAAAACTTAGATACAACACATGATATTTTAAAGTTTCATTCTGTAATTAAAATTAAAATTTACTTAAGTAATTTGCGCAAATACATATTATCAAAATTTATATTAAATATAAATGCATATTGTATACGTAAATTTTTAAATTTGATTAAAGAACAAAAATTAATAATGGAATAATGTAAGCTAACTTTTGTCCATTAGTATAAGAAAACTTAAAATTGAGCCGGTGGAGCTTCTAAATGATTGACGAGGGAAACTTCTTGGAAATAGGCATGGACTTTATTTGGACGAATTCTTTTGGATTTGTAGTCTTGTTATCACTACAAAAAATGTTTTATATACTGACATACAAAAAGTGTCATTATAAGTATAATATATGTAGGTATATACCTATTTGACATATAATTACATATAATTTTAGTGTTAATTTTGAATAAGATTTAATAACATATTTTGTATGTCACTATAGTCTATACTTATATTTTTTAACAATATACCAACATATATTATATTTATTATGTGGATAAAAGTAGTTTTTAGTGACACCTATTGTGTCACTATAGGGTGTGTCACTGTACGACAATTTTTTTATAGTGTGAATCGGTTAAATCTATCACGATAAACACTATTATAAAAGCAATTTTGTTGTTTCTTATACAATTTTTCTTGATGTTTTTTATCTCTTAATAATAATATAAAGTAGTATTTTAATTAATATTATGCACATGTTTATTATATTTAATTAAATTTATAATAAATTATATATATAAATAAATATTATATTTAAATATATAAATTATATTAGTATTTTAATCTATGCATTATACAAACTAAATATTTATCATATGTAAATAAAATTTATAATAAATTATATATATATATATTATACTTAAATATATAAATTATATTTAAATTTTATTTAAATAGATATTTTTAAATATATAAATTATATTTTAGATTTATGGTAAATAAATTACAATATGATAAAAAAATAATTATATAACATGTTTATTTTGCATAATTAAATTTATAATAAATCATTTAATATAAATAAATATTATGTTTTAATATATAAGTTATATTTAAATTTGTATAAATAGATATTATTAAACATATAAGTTATATTTCTTATTTATGATAAATAATTTATATTATATAAAAAAATATTTTTATTTATTAATAATTTATTTTAAAATATTAATATTTAATTTATAAATAATTATAATAAATAAAAATTGAATTAGATAAAAAAATTAGAATATTTTTTACAAATTCTCTCGTTAAAAGAAGCTAATAAAAAAATCTCACCACTTCTTCCTTCACTCTTTTGCTTGTTACTTTATCTCTCATCATTCCTTTCTAAATCATACTTTTTGCACTCTTAATTTTATTAGTTTTTCATTGATCTTCAATATTATATAAATTGGATTCAAGGTTTAAGGGTTTTTTCAAGACATTGTTTTGAAAGGTATGGCCATTTAATTTTACAAAAAATGGTCGAGTAGAAGTAATATATTTTTTGTTATTATCGAAATTGTATTTTATGATTCTTAAAATATATTTTTGATAAGTTTCTTTTGTAATGATTTGTTAAGTCACTACATTTTATAACCTGACATCTAAGCAGTAAAAAACATAAATCTAATTACTTAAGATTGACATACAAACAATTATTGAATATCTATGCAATAATATATATTTATAGGAATAGCAATTGAAAACATAAATCTAAATCCCTTAATGAGAGTACTTCAGAATCATGTATATATATATATATATATATATATATATATATATATATATATATATATATATAGGGAGCATATTAAGTGAGAGGAAATTTATTATGAGAGATGAGAGGGTTAAAATATATCCCTTAGATTAATTTTCTCTCACTTGATTAAACCCCAAATTTTCTCTCACTTGATTAATCTAAGGGTTATATTTTAACGCTCTCATATCTCATAATAAATTATCTCTCACTTGATATGCTCCATATATATATATATATACTGCCCGTGTAAAGTTTTTTTTACACTGGCAACCAATTATATCTTTTAATTGTGCCATGTCACTATAAACACAGTGTATAGGTGATTAACTCTCTCTATATATATATATATATATATACGCAACTATTCAACTATAAACATAAAATTCTAAGTTTTCGATCAAACAACTGCTATACAATTGTTGCATCAAAACAACTCAATAGAACATCACCACCTCCATGACACCCAAAATCCTATTGTATAGTATGATCATCGCATTCCAACAACAAAAAATGCAAGGATAAACTCATAAACAACAAAGCATCATATATAATATAGAAGTAAAATACTAACAAAATTAACAACTTCATGCACAATATTACAACAACCTAAGCTTAATTCAACAACATCAATCAACATGTCAACACAATCATTTCAATTGAACAACATATCAACTTGGCAACTTGTCAACATATCTACACAACATAAGAATAACACAACAACTTACAACACAACATAGTTTACCAACATATCAACTTACATAGCACTGCAACATGGCAACATAGCAGCACAATGCATTGTCACGTATTTCAACAAAAAGATCGTTTACAACATATGTGAGTAGTTTAAATGATTTGACCTTACCAAACCAACTTAACAATGCGATCTTTTAGACTTACTAGATTAATAGCAAATTTGGATATCAATCCACAACACAACATGATTTTTAGGATTTCACCACTTAAACTAGGAAAGTTCAATATCTTTATCAATAATATAGCAACTTATATGTGGGTTTATCATGGCATTAATATGCATCAACTAAGTCTATATGGAATTAACCCATCGACTATCCTCCATATACTACACACCTTTCTAGAAATTAGTGAAAGATTTTATCCTTTGACTTCATACTTACTTAGTTAGCCTTTTCTAAACAAATATGACTTGACTTGGCCCCAAATGGTATCAACTAAAGACTTAGAGGAGACTCAATACCCCCATTTCAAGAGACAACAATACTCAAGAAAGGTTTTCAACAACTAGGCTCTGAGAGTACCACAACACATATCCATATAATAAGATATTTTAGCTTTTAAAATAACACATCTCTTCTAGTTTTAAGTTCACAACATATCACAACTAAATACATTATGATTCTCATCAACATATTTAAACATTACAACATGTCTCATGCATATCACAATACAATACTACACAACAACATACTTAAACATGTTACTAATATTTATTCAACATATTCACGCCCAATGTCACTCACCTTATGTCCAATGCCAGTGAGGCAAAAGAGCCTTTGGCTCACTCACACTCAATGTCAATCCTCTTGCACCTAGCAAAAATGATATAGAGAGTCTTTATGTAATCCACGCTTGACGCTACTAATCTTGCACTTGACATCGCCACAACAAAGACCCTCAAGCTTGCTCACGTTTAAGATCACCAAGTTAGGGAGCCCCTAGCACAATCATGCCCAGTGCCACTCAACCTGCGTCTGATGTAGTGAGGCAAAAAGTGTATAACTTCATTCATGCCTAACACCATGAAGTTACACCTAGCATGAAGGCAATTTCTACATCCAACAAAATCACGATTTAGCTCAAATCACCCAAATCCTTCAACAAATTCAACATGCAACTTAGATTTCAACATATATACAACATATACAACTCAGGTTCATCAAAAAGAACAACATGCACTCAACACATGACCCAAAATCACCAATTTATCTCCAAACAATAAAAAACCCATGTAACAAGGTGTTTCACTTCTCAAAACAACAATACAACCACAAAAATGATGAATCCAAACAATAAACAACATATGCAACCTAACAAGATCAACTATAAGCTCCCTTTACCTCGATTCTCAAAGAAAAGAGAAAGAGGAAAAATAATGAACACAACTTCTCTAGACATGCCACATGTCAACCTCGAACCTCTAATCCTCAACTCTCCAAGCTTCAAATCACTACTCAGCTCTTACAATTTGAGCTCCATGAAAGATTAGAGCAAATTCATGAAGTTAGAAAGAAGAACAAATTTGTTTTGGTTCAAAGTTTATCTCTCTAAAATCTCTATATAAATCTTAAAGAAATGAACTTATGAAGTTAAAATCTTAAGAAAACTTTATATATGTTCCTGTAAACTTAATCAAATTTGACCTTAACTCAAAACAACCCTCAAATAATTAAACTCATAAGATTTCCTAAATCCTCAATATTTTTCTAACATTAAAATAACATATTAATAAAATTGAATAAACATTAATACGATTCAGAATGTCACATACTTGTTATAACAGTAAAAATACACTTTTAGAAATAATTTTCTAAAAGAGTAATAACATACTTTTGGAAAATGGATTATGAAAAATAAAATATATCGTTCTTGAAAGTACTTTCTAAAAAAATAGAATTAACAGATATTTAGAAAGAGGTATATTCTTAATTAACAAATGTGTATTTAACAAAAGTCAAAGGACAAGTTTTTTTCTTCCTAGGTACAACTTTTCTCATCGAGTCGACTAATTTTAAGAATAAAGTATTGTCTTTAATTCCGACTCCATGCTTAATGTAAGAATTGAATCTTAATCTTTAGTTAAAAAATACAAGTGTCAAACTTTTTTTACTAATAAATTTTAA